AACCATTCAACTGGAAATTCTGAGAGGAAAGTCAAGTGAAATGGAAATTGGGCCAGTACAAAATATCAAAAAAATTTGGTACAACGTACACCTGGAAAGGTTTCGCTCTTTTCCAGAAATTCCGCAAACTGTTGTTCCAGTTGCCACTTGAAATTTCCAGAAATTCAAACTGGAATTTTTCATTGAATGGAACACACCCATGAGGGCATAATGGCTAACATACAAAGAACTTTAAATCCGTGGCCACTGTCTAAAGGATAGGATTATGTGGCGCTGAATTTCTTACAATGTAAGCTGTAACTGGAATTTCAATGGTATTTTTCATTGAATGTATCATGCCTATATGATGGCACAATGGTTAACATACAAAGAACTTTAAATCTATGGCCACTGTCTAAAAAGATGTGATTATGTGGTGTTCAACAATAGAAACTGTGTTTTTAGTAAAACATGTTAGTCTCATACATGCACATGTACTGTTCACTTCTCTAAGAGGGGCAGTGAACAGTGAATGGTACCTACAAAATCATGGGTCTCGGAAACTTTAGATCCAACCTTGAAATCTTTTGTGATGAGTCATGAAGTCTTGCTTTTGTGTATTTCTTTCTGTCTTGCAATCTAAAATCACTTTAGTCTCAGTCTTGGAGTTTCAAGCAAAGGTCTATGCATCTCAGCGAGTCTTGGATTTTATCATTGATTTAAAGTGTCTACTTCAAATAATTTTTGGTTCACCCTGACAGAAATAATTCTTTGGGAGGGTTTGGAGTAACCTAGTACATGAATTTTGGACAGCTTCATAAGGTATAAGCCAAAAGTGGCACTCTCAGGCGAATTATGAATTGGGCATTTTGTGCCTANGCAAACTGTTGTTCCATTTGCCACTTGAAATTTCCAGAAATTCAAACTGGAATTTTTCATTGAATGGAACACACCCATGAGAGCATAATGGTTAACATACAAAGAACTTTAAATCTATGGCCACTTGTGTCTAAAGGGAAGGATTATGTGGCACTGAATTTCTTACAATGTAAGCTGTAATTGGAATTTCAATGGAATTTTTCATTGAATGTAAAATGCCTATATGATGGCATAATGGTTACCATACAAAGAACTTTAAATCCATGGCCACTGTCTAAAGGATGGGATTATGTGGTGTTCAACTGACTTACAATGGAAGCTGTGTTTTTAAGTCTCATACATGTACATGTACTGTTCACTTCTCTTGGAGGTTTGGTGAATGGTGAATGGTACCTACAAAATCATGGGTCTCGGAAACTTTAGATCCAATCTTGAAATCTTTTGTGAGGAGTCATGAAGTCTTGCTTTTGTGTATTCCTTTCTGTTTTGCAATCTAAAATCGCTTCAGTCTCAGTCTTGGATTTTCAAGCTAAGGTCTATGCATCTCAGCGAGTCTTGGATTTTATCATTGTGTGTCTACTTAGTGTGTCTACTTAGTGTGTCTACTTTGAAGAAGTTTTGGTTCACCCTGCCAGAAATAATTCTTTGGGAGGGTTTGGAGTAACCTAGTACATGAATTTTGGACAGCTTGATAAGGTATACGCCAAAAGTGGCACTCTCAGGCGAATTATGAATTGGGCATTTTGTGCCTAGCAATGTAATGTTAAGGCTTTATAAATCTTTTATCTTGCTGTATTCCCCTCCTTCTGGTAGTGGGGAGAGAAGAAGTGAATCCACTAGAATATGCTAATTATTACATTCTCAGGTCCCTGCTGGGTTACTGCAAATCTATTTTATAGGAGGATCTGTTATGTACTATTAACATGGAAACGCTAGAGCACAGGAGAAAACAGCAATCTCTTATCCTGTTGTATAAATGTCTTAATAACAACGGTCCTAAGTACATCAAGGACTTTTTTAGTGTCAGATATAATCTTAGAGGTAATGGCGTTAATTTATGTGTACCTAAATTTAACCTCAACTTTATGAAGAAGTCATTTAATTAAATATGTACGAAGCTCTGAAATAGTTTGCCTTCAAATGTGAAACAGGCCATCAATGTTGCCCATTTTAAGAATAAACTAAGAACATTAGTCAAACTTTTAATTTTTTTCTCATTTTATTCTACCGTTATTCTGTTAGGATTTTAAATTTCACTGTATATATTTAATTCTTAGTGTCAATGTTTAGTTAATAGTTTATTATGTGTGAATCAGATGATAGTAAATTTTTAATGTTCTAGATTTTATAACTTGTATATTACAAAATTACTAAATCTTTGTATTTTAGGAATACACATAGTTCCGTATTTAGAACAGGCTTGTACAGTTCTTAAACTTGACATGTCTGAATAAGGAATTGTATTGTACTGTATTGACTAGCATCCATCCAGAGGAAGCACTGTAACATTATAATACCCATGCTGAATAGGCATCAAGAAATTTTACTCCCAACCTGATGAGCCACTAGAGTCAGCAAGAGTACTGTTGATAATTATTAATTTTTATACTCACAAAGTTTGCTTTGACATGAGAAAAAAAATGACCCTACCTTGTCAACACTCCCCTCATCAGGATAGTCTGACAATTTGTGTTTATCCTCCATAAAGAGGAAGTCCTCTACAGTTATCATTCCTGTGTTTTATAACAATGACAAATTAATTTACTGTTAATGAGGCTGTTGTTTTTTAATGATGTCAATGGCTTGTTACTCAAACACATGTATTTCAGAGCTCAAATATATTATTATTTTAAACTGAGTAATTTCTTAGAAATCGATTTAATTGTAATAAAAACTAACAATAAAAATTTACACTGTTTTGACCTCTACAAGGTCATTTGCAAGTGCAAGAGTATGTTCAAGTGTCATTTTCAATTCACTTGTACTGGAAAATGACATCAGAGAGGTCGAAATGTCATTGCTAGTATTTATTAAAAAATCAAACTTATTTGTTATTCTTGTTCTCAATTTAAAAAATAAATAAATAAAACACATGTATCATCAACATCCACATGTAACTGGCTTATCTAGCTGACCTATACTGTGTATCTCCATTATTTTGCAGAAGAGGACAGAGGGGATAGAGTTGTTTTTATAAATAATCAAATTATTGCCAATACCTTTCTGTTGATAATGAAACATGACTGATCCGCCATCATTAAGCAAGCCCCTGAAAATAGTGCCAAACAAACAAGGGTTGTGATACGCTCTCAATAATGATAATGGCAACACCCCTCAACCCTAACTCCCTACCTCTTAACCCTTAATCCTCACCCTCTCCCCCCCTCCCCGGTAGAATGTACACAAGGATGTACATTAAACAGCTTCAAAGTCTTCTTTGAAGTCTTCTTCAAACTTCATGCCTCTCCCAAGAACATAACAATGTCCCTGGCCAGGCCTAGAACCCGGACTGCTCGATCTGGAGATGAACGTACTAATCATGAGGCCACCACGCCTCTCACAATCCCAGAGAAGTACTCACCCATTTTTCCGCAGAATAGTATTCAGTTCACTCTTTGTTTTAATTTTGTTAGCTGTCAGTAGTTGGACAAGCAAGCCACAGCCACCTGGCCCTTTGACCTCAAGCACAATGGTTTCATAAGGTTGGTCCTTTGTCTGATGAACAAATAAAGGAAGGACTGATGGAAGACAGGAAGAAAAAAAGGCCATCTGAATCTACTAACTGAATGCACCTAAAAATAACAGGTGTCTAATTTTTTTCATAACATAGCTAGAGAAGCCATGCTATCAAACATAATCTTATATCATAAATCCAGATAATTATGATGTACCCTCATGGCCTCAGCAAAGTACACGTAAACTTTGTTTCATCATTTCTTTTCACAAAAAGAAATGATGACGATGGGCAGACAGTCCGGCATAAGTCTGACAGACTGTAGGATGGGTAGACAGTCGGGCGTACAGTCAGGCATACAGTCAGACAGACTGAAAGATGGGCATACAGTCTGACAGACTGAAAGATGGGTAGACGGTCGGGCATACAGTCAAACAGACTAACAGATGGGCAGACAGTCTGGCAGACAGTCTGGCATAGAGTCAGACAGACTGAAAGATGGGCAGACAGTCAAGCATATAGTCAGACAGACTGAAAGATGGGCATACAGTCTGACAGACTGAAAGATGGGTAGACAGTTGGGCATACAGTCAAACAGACTAACAGATGGGCAGACAGTCTGGCATACAGTAAGACAAAATGAAAGATGTGCAGACAGTTTTTTCAGTCTCAGATTGAAAGATGGGTAGACAGTCTGGCACACAGAAAGACAGACTGAAAGATGTGTAGACAGTTGGAAAGATCAACAGCTAACAGTAAAAGCAAATCATACAATCTTACCCCTGCTCCTGTTTTAATGGCATTCTCAACACTTTGTTTAGGCATACTTATTGATTTAGCTCTTTCAATCAGTCTGTCCAAACGAAGGTTGAACTGAACATCTGCCCCTGATTCTAAATTCAAAAAAATATAAAAATTATGTAGTATATATTAACCAGCAGACAGCTTTAATCCTTTATAATACACTCAGATATCAAATACACACTGTGTATGCGTTCCCATTTAATCTTGCTGGAGGGAGAGGGGACAAGATCTGGGGGTTGCAAATGACCCAGGTGTCCAATTGATGCAATTGATGATTGATGGCAATCGATACCAATCAATACCTGTCAATATCAGTTAATTGATTGATTATTCAATGACCAATCAATGAAGAGGATTTGTGTGACTTTCTATTGATTGTCATCAATTTCCAAATTGGAAATGCCATTATAGCAATCGATGGCCTAATTCGTATCAATCATTTTACAGTTGTCTGCTCAGTGACCTTGCCTCTGAATGGCAGCAAGGCTGGAAGTGACCTTGTTTTCATACAGACCTCACTGCTTTTGTTGTGTAATGCTAACTAGGTGCATTTACATGACAAAAGCAGAGAGGTCTGTATCAAAATAAGGTCACCTCCAGCTTCGCTGTCATTAATGGGCCTGGTCACTGAGCACACAATTGTAAATGGCCCATTGTCACGTTTTCCAAAACAATAGCAATCAATTAGCAGACCTGCCAACTCTCCCGGTTTTCCTGGGAGTTCCCAAGTATTTCATCAAATCTCCCAGTCTCCCAGTCAGAGCACCAAATCTCCCGGGAACCACCTACTGTAGCTCTTTTTAATTTTTTTTTCATTAATTTTGTTATTTTCAAGATTTCAAAAAGGAAAATAAAACAAGAAGAGAATAATATTTGTTGCCCTTATTTGAGCCACTCTCGATCTGAAAACGTAAAACAGAGCAATCAAATTGATATATATTTAACGAGTATCCTAATTGGTCAGAAATCAACCAATCAAATTGCACAATACATGGTACAAAATCGGTGTGGTTTTCGCACGCTGTTTACATCNGAACTGGGCCCCATACTGTATTCAGCCATATAAACAAGGATTTGACATTACTAAATGAAATTTTTAAAAAATTAATTTTGACTGCCGGACACGGAGTATTTTGAAAAACCTGTCCGGCTGCCGGACATAGGGACACAGCGTATTTATAAAACTGTGCCTTACCACGAACGGCTGTGATAATTTCCATGGAAAGTTTCCCAAACTCCTTGCTGCGAGCAAAGTCATTGTGAGCCTTCTTGAACTTTCTATTTTGCCATTGACTGTGCCCCTTACATCTGACCTGTATTCTGGAAAAAGTTAGTGACGCACTTGGACAACAACACCGCGTAGCAAGGACGGGAAAGTTCGCAGCAAGCACACAAGACTTTCTCGTCAAGGCAGCCGCCATTTTGATTTTCCGCTAGGAGGAATCTTCTCTACTCAGCAGAGAGGGGTAGGGAAAGTCATGGGCTTTCCACGCGTTTTCGAAAGCTGTCGACACATTTGTGCAAGCTTTAATTCATTTATCCTTTTAAATGATCATTGATTTCTTAGAAATAAATAATATCGTGGATACGGAAAGAAAAAGTCAAAATTTACTACTATAATTTTGTTAAAGCTATCACCCCACCCATGTCAAAATTGGATGGCTCGGTTACCAAGTCAATTTCTTCATCATTTCTTGACTAACACGTACAGTGTGCTTGGAAATTGCAATTTTCTCGGATTGATTGTGTATTGACGAAGCAAAACTGCTTTAAAATAACATGCAGTGGTTTACAGGAAGTATTCCTGAAGCCATTGGTGAGTCAAAGCGGAAGGGACTGGTATTCATCGTCTATATTGAAGGTATATTATGTCAGAGTGTAACGTCATTGTATTTCGTTGCACAATTCATTCATCATTCAAGTTTTTTCGCTTATTTGCCTGCACGATTCAATCTATTAACATTCTAATTGCGATTTTATTTTATCGTTAATCGTTACCTCGGTAGTCAAGATACTTCCTCTGCCCAGCTAATTTAAATGAAGTCATTTTGGATCCTTCCGGGTTTTGTTGTTTTTATAAGTTTAACTCTTTATTTATCATACACATGCGCTTAAGCTTAACCTTATAGTTTTTTAAGAACGGCTTCCCTCGTTTACCTTTTGAATAATATCTTAAGACCGTTAGCCATAGGCTTGTATTGTGTAATATTATTTACAGACGTATTGTTGAACTGAAGCCGTGATCCACATGTTTTAGGTGTGCTTATGGTGAATTTCAATTTACTTATAATACATAATAATTTGAGGAGATAATTATTACTTCATTAAGAATGGTTAATTATAAGAGCAGGCCAGTTTATCGTTAATTCTTAATCTGCACTGCAGTGCAATTTAACACGCATACGTTCGTAATTTTCTCAGTCATATAATAAAATTGAGTAATTGAATGAAAGTTCAAGTAATTAAGGATTTACACTGCTCATGATATCTGGAAATTCTGTCAACTTGCACCCACCTTTAGGCTCATGTAATTTTGAGAGAATTATCAAATATCACTCGTAGTATAAGTCCTTAATTGCACCCGCATTCATAGGATCACCTATACTTATAATCCATCAAATATTTTTGTTTCCATGCGATTGGTCTAATTATATCACATGACTGAATATGCCCAGCTAAAGCTGGGGAACATCTGAGTGATATTTCCCAATGATTCTAGACCAGCTGGTCACATTTTCATCCACATGTACATGTAGACAGTATTGAGATGGCAAAGGGGGCATTTGAGCCCATCAGGCCCACACCCCTCTTTGATTTCCATAGCATGAAGCGAGTACATTGCAGGAGTATCTCTACTCTCCCCTATCCCCCGGGGTGGAATGCTACACATGAAGTCCATGCTAGGGTTACTCCCAGCATTGAATTTACCACTACCCATTTGTAGACCTGGGTGGAGAGAGACACGGTGAAAGCAAAGTGTCTCGCCCAAGAACGCAACGCAATGTTCCTGACTAGGGCTTTAATGCGGCACACTTAATCTCAGATCTAGTGCACTAACTAGTAGGTCACTGTGTCTCCTAGGAGAGTGGGGGAAAGGGATGTGGACACTTTAAATATTATTTAACTATATATTATTATTTTGTAATATCTAGTTGTTGCAACCTTCCATTAATTTGATTTTTTTCCTGAAACAAATAAACCCTGTTACAGGAGATAATGAGGACACACAGAAAATGAATGCAACATGGGCAGATCCAAAGGTACATTTGTATAACATGTAACTGAAATCCCAGTCATTCATATACAATAAAGCAAAATGCTATTTCTTAGCTGTGAGAAAAACTGACNGTCTTTGGGAATTTTCAGCAACGTTTAGAATGCATCGCAATGTCTTCAGTAACGTCCAGAAGTCATCACAATTTTTTTTTTGAAATTTGGGTAATGTGGATATGAAAATCACCCACATTGGATTTAAGAAAAATTGGCAGGTACATCTTTGGAATATCCTTGAAGTTCTTCAGTTGCCTTTGAACGAATATCTTCAGATTGTTTTCAAAAATCCTGGAACTCCCAGGATAAAGATCTCATGCGTGTGACTTACAAAATGTTGGCGGGTGTATCATTAGTTTACAGTATGTGCAAGAATGTACACATGACATTTGTAATCATGTAAATTCCTGTTCTCTTTTTTCTCCTAATTATTTTAGTGATGACTGCATACAGTTTTCCAAGCTTTGTATCCTTTTCAAGCAGTGGCAACTTTGAGGCTAAACCTACAAACTGTATAAAATTAATGTTAAAAAGGGTCTTATCACATGTAACTTCATACATGTATCTCAAATAATGACATTTGTTTGTTTAGCTCATTGTACTGATTGAAGCACGAGAAGCTCTGACTTATTGACCTTATCAGTGAACAATTTACAATTTACAATTTTTTAGCATATTACATGAATGTGCCCATACTACAGTTGTAGCTACATGTAGGTACCAGTAATCACAAGTAACTTACCACAATTTGTAAAAGATTGTTGTTGTTGTAGTCCTTAACTTGCTAAATCATTTAATTAGACCCTATTGTTTGTATCCCAGCAACATACTTTATTGGTGAGAACGGTTTGCCGCTGGAAGTTGTAGGTGGGAGCCTTTCAGTTGATGAGTTTCTTGTAAAGTCAAACAAGGCTTTAGAGGTAAAGATTTACTTGAACAGAAAGCGATAATTGTTACTAGACTAGAGAAAGTATTACATGCACATACTGTACATGGTTCTTCTTGAAGTTTCTCCTTTTTTTTTTCGCAAACCCAGTGGGGTAATGAATGTCACAGAGATGCCAAGACCCTTGTTTGAAAATCAGAGACTAAGACAG